AATTTTATTAAGGCGATCCCATTCGTCTGAGGCCTCTAAAAACTTGCTTCTTTCACCCAAAAGTATATTTTCTTCACAGTCCTAAACAGTCTCTCTTTTTATAAGTGATTACCTGAGTTGCAAGTCCCTGCCAAGAGCTGTAGGGATCCAGTTAAAAGGAGATATGTATTATAATCCTCTATACAGATTTTCCAGAAAAACCCTCTCATTCAATTTAGTGGAATTCATAGGGGATTGAATTAATTGCCACAGAGAAGACCATTTTTGAAACCAAATGCCACCTCTTACTTTGATCTCTCTCTTACCTACAGAGAAATACACATTTCTAGATGAGAAGCTGGAAGAAATAAAGGAAGATATGATTTATTTGTCATAGTAAAGCTAGAAAGTAATTTTAGGCAGTGCATTAAGTTAAAAAGTCAGTTGAAGCCAGAATATTGCATGACAGATGGGTAGAAAAAATTGAAACTTCTAAATGCAAAGTCTCCCTTTAGATGGTGGGAATCCCAATTCTGAGCAGCTAAAAAGGATCCTGTAAGGGACATCCTAGGTGTAACCTACAGGCTACAGCATGTGGCACCAATTTAAGACTACACATGTGTGGGATAGAGTCTAAAATGCAGATGTTATACCTTGTCCAGGCCTGTGATTTTTTGCCTTCCTCCACCACCTTTTTCATAAGATAAAAGTGTTGGTGAAAATGCAAAAATAGACAACATTCTATATCAGGATTGCTGCCCCAAAGCAAAGGACCCACTGATGCTTTAAAATAAATAAAAAGTCAAGAAGTCGGTTTGTAATTCTGCTTTCAGCAAAGTTGGCCCTCCAGCAGCTCCTTGTCAACAAGCCAGCTGGTCTACAACGCTGGGCCCACCCTCCTAATGCCTTAATTTGTTCTCACCACAAAATATGTGTGTTCAGAATTGGTTCAACTTCCTCCTTGGAAGGAAGCCTGCAGGGAGTTATTGTTTCAAGCATGCCCTGAGGATGTCTTCCCAGCCAACTCCAGAGAACAGAGGAAAGAGTGACACATCCAAGCAGAAAGAGAAATTGTGGGTTCTCCCACAGAGAGAAACATGGAAACGACCAGGCTCCTGTGGATGGCTGAATGAGCAAATTTTGTGCTCTCTCTGCCAGGAGAGTTTCAACACCCCACTGTGGGCACAATTTCTGCCAAACTTACATTGTCCAGTACAGGTAGTCCTTGTTTAGTGACTGC